GCCCCACCCACCACAGATTAGTGTATGAGTGCCTTCTACAGACTGCAAAACTGAGAGTAGCTTTTTTTTTTTTTATTAAGTCCAAAGCTCAAATGTTCCTGTCTTTTTGTGAGATTTAGATTCTGAGTGATCTCGTGGCACAGGCTGCTTCTGATGACAACGTCTAGTAAAAACAGACCGCTATTGATTTTGGTTAAAGTGTGACTGGTGACTCTGCATAACATACCTTCTTCTAACTAAAATGTATCCCCATGCATTGATTTAGCAGCTTGGTTTACTTTCTTATAAACTACTTTTCATTGCACTGCTGGGATCATCCACACAAACCATTCAACACCAACCTTTCCCAAGCAATAGCACAGGTCCTCTTCTAAATAATAAAATATATATATTATATTGTTCCTGCTTATGTTAACTATCTTATACAAGGGATAACTACAGTCCACTGACTTGTATTGTTCCTAGGATACAGCTTGAACCAGCAGCCATCATCCCACAGAAACTGTCATCTGTACTGTTGATGCTGAATACTGTATGATGAATACTGCTTCTCAACTCGTCAACTCAGCAGAAACAAGTGCACTTTCACTTGCAGGAAATCAATCAGGTCTTTGGATGGATCGTGAGTAGAGTCATTACACAGCATGAAAAATACCATATCAATATCAAATGTCATTTTCAGTTGAAGAATTATTAGTTATTGTACATGATAATGTGATTATAGGAAGTTTTTTTACCCAGAATGTCATGTCACTAAAAGTGCAAAACATTTGAAGAGAAGATTTTCCAGATTTGTTTAATGAAAATTATTTTCACCTTCCTGGTATTAATAAAACACCCTGATGATACACACACACACATACACACATACTGTATATATAATCTTAGTTTTACTATCAGCAAACCGAGCCAGCTTTTTTCTTGATATTCACTGTGAATTTTCTGACTACCAAGTATCTACTCTTCATGACTTTACACCAGACACAAGACATCTTAATTGTTTTTCTGACTGAAACAATCAAATTAAATTATACCATACTGAACAAATAAAGTTCATACTGGAGTTGCAAAACAGCCACCTGCTGCATAGCTACTTCTGAAACTGCTCAATATGACTCTTTATTCTTTCATTAACTACTTAACTAGGCGAATGGGACAGCATTATGCACTGTCCCACTCACCTTCTAATTCTTAAGCACATTCAAAGTTTCATGAAGCATCTTAACAGCCTAGAGATCTCTGAGTGTTACTTACAGACTCATCAGTTTTAAAAGGCATAATTAAACAGTGTTGTTCAGTAAATAAAATACAGCAAGGCAACACACAGTGGGCAGGGTTTGTTGATCTGTTTGTGACTTCAATGAAAAAAATAATAAAAATGCTGACATTATTGCAGCACTTCACACCAACTATAGATTCCCCCCCCAAAAAAGGATGTGCTCTCTCTCTATTCCTAAATGCCACAGCTCACGATGATGTTAAGTAAAATGCAGGTGAGGTTCCCCTGAGAACTGCTGAGCTGAGCTGAACACTTCTTTTGCCTGATAACAGCTTGACTTGACCCTGGCTCAGCAGCCAAGAGTTTTTCCAAGTACCTTGGCTGAGGCTCCCTTAAAGAGGCAAAGCAACTTTACGGTTTCTCAGACCCACTATGTTATCCACAAAGCAGAGTGAGATCCAAACTTCATTATCTGTTGCTCAATACTGTATGTAAAAGAACACAAGACCAATCAGCATCCAATATGAACAGGGTATCTATTCTTATTGGAAAAGATATTTTGAAACGCAGTGTCCTTGTATATTAAATCTGGCCGACAAAAGCAGTAAAGCAGAATGTATTTGCTAAATGTGAAGAAATACATTCCATTTTCCTGAAAATTTCACATTTACCAATACAACTGTGCTCTTCTGTCATATAGGAGCAATATTGTTATGCTTTTATGTGTTCCTGTTGACATCCCCTTTACATCTCTGGCTCTGGAGTCTGGCTTGAGCACTTAAGGCTGACATGCTTTATAGCAAATATGGTCTGTGCTTCATTTTTGTGGAAACGGCTATCCAACTTCAGGTTCTACCACACTGTGAAGCAGCTGCAACCACAGTAATGTTATAACAACTAACAGTAAATCAAGAGATTAAGAGTGTAACAGCACCCTTACCTGGGATACAGGTATAACGATGAAAGAGCCCCCGCCAGCGCTTTCAGTGACGACTGCCAGGAATTTAGAGTTCACGGCACAGAAGTGGTTGTCATGGACATTCTTGGTGATGGGGACACCATCGAAGCAGTGCTCCCGGTTGGCTACTTTTCCATATACATTTCGAAACTTGGAGCTTCGGTAGGTCGGACGCCATGACATCTGAGAAGAAAAAAAATGTCAAGGATAAACACCTAGCCAGGTATACTAAAGCAATGCCAATGCTAAAATATACCTTTTGCCTTGGTTGCAGAGAGGCAAGCAGGAAACAGAGTGAAACCTGAGACAAATGTCTGCAACTGGAGTCAAACTGCAAATGTTGAGCAGGTAGTAGGTACACATATGGTGCCCACTGAAACCACTCGGGTACTGGGGGGCCTGCTAATTTTGATAAGTGAATAATTGTGTCCCCTCCTTGAACCACCACCTTATTGTGGTGGAGGGGTTTGAGTACCCGAGTGATCCTAGGAGCTATGTTGTCGGGGGCTATATGCCCCTG